CCCCGTTCTACTCATTTGTGTGTGTGCGTCTGTATGTTAATGTGTGCCGGAGCAGCTTGTTGTTTTTAGCCTTTGGGTGGCGGGGTTTTTCCCTATAATCCCATCACTGTTGTGAAGACGTCCAGAGGCCCCGCCTGAAGGGGCCACATTTCTGGCATCCTCTCTCCTTTTACTCCCAGAGCCAGCAGCTCCAGAGCCAAGACACAGACCGTCATCAGTCCTGTGCTGCTCTGACTGCAGCAGAGCAGGTCGCACTTGGAAACAAAGCTTCAAAGAAGAGAGTCAGGTGTTCTGTGAGGGGGAGGGGTGGTTAATTCTATAAATACCTTCAGTTGTTAAGAAAAAAAGCTGTTTATATCAAAAATGAATTAGACTTATCATAGTCCATTTAAACTCCTTGAAACTGGCCTCTGTAAGAACCTCCTACCTTTTCTGACACTCCCACTTCATCACGACTTTAAACACTAAATTAAAAACAACATAACCTGAACTACTATAACCAATGGTTCAATTTAAAAGCACGTGAGTAATTTTCAGATATATTGATACTAGGGGTGCAACGATACAGAAAAAAATCACAATTCGGTTTGGTTTGATATTTTCCCGATACAAAAAAGAGAAATGTTCATGCCCTTCTTAACTTGTAATTTATTGAAATTAATGATGAATATTTGTTTAACCTCAAAAGTAAAGTTTTTTTAAACCAAATGTTGCTGAAACAGCAAGTTTCTCAGTGGATCTGCGCTCATCAATGCAGCCTAGGTGGAGTAGTCGAACACAGATCCACTGATCCTTCAACACAGCATCTTCAGAAGACAAGCTGATAAAATACAGGTTTAAAATCTGTATTGTTCCATACTGAGTGTGTATTGAAAAGTTTGATACAGATATATTGTTGCACCCCTTACTGATGTGCAATTATAAAATGTGGGCATGCATTTAATGTAAACAAAGCACATTTATCTGCACAATGCTCAACAAATCTGAGTAAATATGTACCAATGCACCAAAAATATTAGATTTCTCCATCCTATGGCTC